TCCTTTGATATTGGTACTGAGAATTAAACAAAAATATCTAAGTATAGCTAAGAAAAAATTTTGATAAAAAAAAGACAAATATTCCTGTCAGAATTCAAAATCAATATGATTGAAACTGAACAATAAATGTGCCACTGACAGCTCACTGCGTACTTGGAAGACACGCTATGAGATTCAATATACCTTATAACGAATTTTATCGTGGTTGTGGCTCTAAGGAGGAGGTGAATTCGTGCTTTATCTTTTTTGTCCATGCTAATCTTTAGTCAATAGAAAAAATGTGCCTTTAGGCAAATTTAATTACTGTTCTGATACAAGTTTATTCTGTAAAATTAGAAACTTTGCTAAAGAAAATTACCATTTCATACAAATATAAAACAACTCAAATATTATTTATCATTATTAATATTTTATCAAAGCATTTTGATTAGATTCAATTTACTTCACATCTATTTCTTTCAACTTTACAATACTTCATTTAATAAGATTACCCATCGAAATTATGGAATTCCTATAGTACAACCCGGGTAACTATAACAGTAAGATTCACATAACACGATATCTTTGTCTTCATACAATGGAATTTCGGGCATTCACATAACGATATCTTCGTATTCATACAATTAGATTTCGGGTATTCACACAACGGGATTTCGAATATTCACATAATGGGATCTTATGCAAAACGACTATATCATGCATATAGTCGGCATATAAAGTAACATACAACCAAAAAGATATATTATACTATAGAGGTGATAACCAATATTATAATTAATTTCACCAGTTATTCTACAAAAATTAAACCCACATCAAAGTCATCAGGGTGCGCCCCTGATCTTATATAGAAATTTTCGTAATTTCTGAATTTAACTCTCTATTTTACTATAAAATATTAACTGAATATAAAATTAAGGTTAATTAAGTTCAAAATTTAACTTTAATCTCTATTGCAAATATTAGTTTTTTTATGGTTTTTGTAATCTTCTTTCATATCTCCCCTCACCACAAGCAACCTAATCTATTCCGATAAAAAAGTTTAGTCATTGCATGAGCAAAATTTGATTTTTATAACGAAATTTAAACAAATGCATTGTGTTTTTATCGATAAGATATTAATTTTCATTTTTATTTATTTATTAATTTTTTTTTTTTTGTTTTATATATGAGTGATCAATTTTATGAAGCATAGAGAAAATTACTCACAACTTCCTCTGTTGGAAATGCTGTGGAATTTTTGAAAACATTTAAAAACATTATTTTGGTCCAAAACATGGGTGCATTAATGATGTTCACTAGACAGACGCATTCTGATCATTGCAACTGATCATTGTACACTACCAACTTTATGTAAATATTTATATGTTTTGTATGGTATATATATATGTGTGTGTACTTATATATGTTGATATATATTTAATTATTGGAGTAAATTGGTTGGTTGTAGTTAGTATTGAATTCAACTGTGGCAACGTCATCGGGTGATCGCACTGTTACAATACTCAACCAAGCAGAACTCCCAGAAAACATCAGAAACAACAGCACACCACAATAATGGCAGTCGAACCAACAGATGCATGAGGTTCGGGTATTGTTGTTTTATGGATGGATACAAGTTGAAATAAACACAAAAATGTAAAAAATATGGAAAAATTTATAATGTTCAAGTTTTGAGAGAGACAAGTGCGCAGCGAAGCAGTACCGAATACCGAACTAAAGCGTGCGGTGGAGGGTGCGCAAAGCTAATGGTTGTACATGTTAATTATTTATTTTTATGCAATATTATGAAAAAGCGAAACTATACAAAATTTAAGATTTTACAAAAATCGATTTTATATTATTAAAATGTTTAATGTATTTCAATTTCTTTTTTATAACTCATTTCAGTCAGTCAAAAGATAATGAATTTTTAGTTATTTTATATATTTATATTAATATACATTAGTGAAATCAGCAACGCTGTAGCTTACCTTGCCATTGACGTTAGCCAAAATTTTTGCCTCCCTAGACACGCCCACACCATCAGCCGATGTAGCACGTGTTGAGGGTGAAGTTGCATAAACAAATAGTGGCAAAGAATTGAAATTTCGCAAAATTCCGCCACAATCCTTGAAACGGCGACAGAGTAGCACCTTTTTATTAACTGCTCCAGTCGTTGAAGTGTTCGTATTGTCCTCCACTTCTGTTAACTGAACGTTCTTTTCGTCTAGTCCATTTGGCTTAGGTGTATATTGCATTGAATGCTTAGTTTTTGCGTCACATTGTGTTCCATTATCAGTTATAGTTGGAGTAGCTAAATTTGTTGTTATTGTTTCCACTATTTGGTGCCCTTGTGACTGCGTTTGTTGGTTTATTGCATCTGCGCCAGCTGTTGCCATGACACTCTTTAATTCTTTTCATGAAGCCACTATAAAATTGATTTTACTGTTTTCCTTTGTTTTTCGGTATTGTGGACGGCTACTTTTGACTGTCGCATATTGTTAACATGCGGTACATATACCTTTGCATCGAAAATATTTAATACATTTCTTACAAATATCATGCAAAAACTATTTATAAACTTTTTTTAATCATTTGAAAAATATTTATTTATGTAATTTTTCTTTTGCGTTCCGTATACCGTACCGATTTTTGCAAACTGATAACTTTTCTTCTTTCTAATTTCGCAAATTGGGAGTCAACCAAAATTGGTTAGAAAAGTAGACGTGAAAGATTAGCGACACAAAGAGACGTGAAAAAACGCGATTTTTTTTGTTAAGCGAAATTTATTTAGCATATTTTTCTAAAATATGCAATATATATATTAACGACTTAATAATTTATTATTGTAGAATGCTTAGGTTGCATTTCCAAACACTTTTTACAACAAATATAAGCGTACAACTAATGACAGTTTAAAGCAATCCCAAAACAGAAAGGAGATAGTTATATAAAGTGTATAACAGTCTCAAAAATATGCCTCTCACTCATACCCTTTATTATAACACTTAAGTGCAACGCATTCACAATTGTTGGCTTATGTTCACAATAAAAATCACATAATAATCAGATGTGATAGATAAGTTCCCATACATACTTGTAGTCATATTAGAATCTCTAAAGCAAGTACCATCTATACTGCTATCTAAATTGTGCTCTTACACTATAAATCACTATACGCTATTTAAGCAGTTAATGACTGCCCTAATATTCACGTATATAACAAAAAATATATATTATACATATTAATATATATAAACTCCAGAAAAATAAAATGTATTTCAATAAATAAAAGATATAATAAATATTCCAAATGATATATTTAGCCCTATAATGGAACCCTCAAGGTGCAAGAAACAGAGGACGCCCCAAGATGACATGGTATAGAAGCGTTAATAAGGAAACAAATAAAACATTTAATGAGTAAAGGCACATTGCTTGAAGCCGATATTTGGTATAATGGTATGGTATAATAGTATATTACCATTGCTTTCGTTAAAGCATTTCATTTGATTTAAGTCGCTTATGAAATTTAATTAACCATACAAAGAGCTTTCGTGCCTCTTTACATTAGTTAAGAAAAATGCCAAGGAAATTACAATATAAATGTATAATGCAATATTGCGATATATTTTTTTCAAACAGGACATTATAGAAATTTGACATATATAACACATGAAACAAAATGTAAATAAAAAACAAAAAGTGTGGTACAAATTTTTTAAGTTTGTTTTCTATAAGTAAAATATATAATTGCTATATAAAAATATATGAATGAGTTTATATATCAAATATACGTTTGATATTATTATACAATATCACATTATTTTAAAATAAATATTCTTTTCATTTGGATATCAACTGAAATGTAAGCAAACAAGAGCTTTCCTAAAACTTTCTGATACATAAAAGCTCTTTCACATGCAGAAATGTCAATAGAAACTCCCAAATCTTAATTTGATTAACATAAATTGATTTAACTGCAGTAGAAACAAGTTATAATATAAAATACAATATAGAAATTATTTTTTTTTATTTAAGCCAAATGATCAATATAAAACAAATATGAGATATTTTTAATTTTTGCTTAAAAACGATCTTGTATTTTCTGCGTAAACTGCTTTTCTCAAGGAAAAAAAGCAATGTTAACATAATGCAGTGATTTAATAAATGCATGCAAAATATTTAGCAAAACTTCAAGACTAACATTTTAACAATTTAGTGTGCTAAATAGAAATCATGAAGAAGCATATATATATATATATATATATACTGATGTTTGATAAAATTGGTAAATGTGATTTTAACTAAAACATTTTTAAAACTTTCATAAACGGAATGAATCACTCAAACGATTTTATTCCTACTAACCGTTTTCTTTAAAAAAAGAAATGTTTTTTAAATTTCATATGTATTTTTATTTTAATTTCAATCTACTTATTACTGTGGATATTTTTATTTATATATGACAACAATGTGTGTAGACTAATTCAGACTTTATGCAGGGGATTTGGGATGATCGACTGTTTTGTAATTTTACTTGATACATATATCACGTAAGATATATATGCTTATCTACTAAGTTTACGTCGAAATATCACAATTGGACAGATTCTTTCTTTTCAACGTACTTCGGCTATCATATATAATATATGGCAACATATGACAACTGATGGCTGAATAATTCAGGCTCAAGACTAAAGCATTAATTTAACCTTTACAAGTGTCAAACCTTACTAGTACATTATTGTTAGTATATTGTACTGTCGAGTTAATTCTCGATGCTGTTTATTGTTATAATCAATATATAATATAATGAATTATGTGATTTTGACAGTTAACATACATTTACATATAAAATTAAAATGGGCCATATTAATAACTCTTCATCACAATATTATTCTCTGGTTCAGATATCTTTACTATGAAAAAAAATTTAACATAAATTAGTTTATAAGTAACCTTCCATATTATATCATATATTTTCAAAAATATAAACTTAATCTTGTCATCTGATATATAAAATTACAAAATTTCTCTTTAAAATTCAAGTATAGCTGGTATTCTTTTATCTGTTGATAACATCAAGCACTACTGAAGTATATTTAAAAACAATTTTTGAAAAGGTAACCATTTTATTTATCACGATATCCGTAATATCTGCGTGCAAGGTAATTATATAAGTATTATCTGTGCGATGGCCGTACCATGAACGTGAAAAGAGGGGACTCAAAGAATTTGATTAATTAAATCAATTATCAATTTCAATAAGATTGAAGACTTTTCAAATCTTTTGCAAATTTATTTAAAATAATCGCTTTCCATATTTTTTTCTTTCCGATTACTAGTTACTATTGACACATATCATTTTGTTAGAAAAAGAGTAAAAATTAGTTGAGTTTTGTGATATCGATTTATGGTGAACTAATATCATGTTTTGAGGAGCCTTATTCTACTGAATGAGAAGTCCATTACCTCTATGTCAGAGGTAGTAATAATGCAAGTCTCTAATTTTGGAAAAAATACTTCTGCTTCTTTCAAAATAGCAGTGTGTTCTATACTAGCTAAACGTGATTTATTTATACCCCTATATTGATTAAAATCACCACCTAATTTCTCCTTCACAGTTATCGAGTCTGCCATAACTGGAAAATTCATAGGTTTTTGAGATAAAATTATTCTGATTAATTGGTATAGAAAGTGTGCATTTGACCGCCGAATTTGTTGCGAAACAATATGGGAACTTTAATTTTATTTTTATATTATTATTTCTTTCAGTATAGTTTTAATAAGACAATTTGATTTCAACCGGTTTAGTGCAGAGCATTGTTTAGTTTTCTTGTAGCGTTATTATCTTCTACAAATAAGGGGACTCATGGGTCTTTATCTGGCTACGCCCATAAACTTTCTTAGTGAATTATTATTTTGTTATGTATACTTTTGTTTTAAAAAAAAGATAATTTTTTATATACCTTGATTTCTCACAAATATATAGACATATACATAGATATATGTAATAAATATATATATTATTAAGTTGTTTAATTAAATTAAATAGTAGATCTTAAACAAATTCAATAATTTATTATAATTTTTTTATCACAGAGAAGGCACGAGAACCTTTTAACAGGAATATAGACATTGTAGCGAAAAACAACACTGTCTGTATGCAACTCAACTTATAATTAAACTAAAGATATATTTTTCCTGAAAAAGGTATGAAAAAAATTAATTATTCTTATATAATTTGTTATTATAAAATTATAATTTATATATTGTTATAAGATATTAGCGTTATTCTACAGCTCAACTTGTATAATATCCTAAATTATGGCATGATTCCGATTTCCCAGAATCGCCTCTTTGACGACAGTTTTTTAGACACTGTTGTGAACAAAGTAGAATCAATATGGCTGACCCTACAAAATTTCTCTATACGGGAAATCAGCATCGTGCCGTAATAAAAATTTTACAAAACAAAAAGACAACACACCTCAATCTAAAAGTATTAAAGCTGAAGACAACACAGTGCGTTTACACTATAGCAATTATCTCGCGCCAATTAACATAATTTTCTATATAAAATCCTTGCAATTGTGCTCAAGAATTTCTATCAAAAAATACATTTTTTGTTTAAAATGTTAGAAATTTAGTTAAAAAATACTGATTTTAAATAAATTGGTAAGCAATACATGTAACAGTATTGTTTTAGCCGTCATATAGTACACAGAAAAAAGAAATTATGTATCATTTACATATCATTTATCCAAATAATTAAATCACTTATTTGAGTTTCTTATTTTTTAAACAAAAAAAAAAGCGAATAATTATTTAAAAAAAAAATCGTTTTAAATAAGATTTTTCTTTTTTTGTCTTATGAATAAATTCAAATAGAAAATACATTATTGAGATATTTAAATCTTTAATTTTTAACCAGGTGAATTTTTGAGCTTACTATACAACTGTTGCTGATAACGCCAAATATTTATTATGTGTGGTTTTTGGAAACATTTCTCATATATGAACAATTAACCTAATAAATGTATCTTATGGCCACTTAAGATAAATATTTAACGTCATCCAGAACAGCTAATAACTAGTCAATATTTTATTTTTTTGTAAATTATGTTTTAACTTGCTAAATTGCAAAACAGAAACAACAAAGTTTTGGTCATCAATTAAAACATATAAACAAGAAAATAATTATATTGCTGAAAAAAGTTTTTAAGTTAAAACAATATATAACTAATTTATTAAAAATGTGTAAATAACAGTTTAAAATTTTTATTTTTTTGTCGTTTGGAAGACTTATTGCAATTAATATAGTAATATATAATATTATATATTAATGTAATGCATAATTTGTGTAATGTGTAATTACTATCCTTGTCCCAAATTTTTTGGATGTTTACATTTCACATATATTGAAAGTGAAACAGCGATTTTTGCGAAAAAAATACCTAGTATTAATATTTATTTTATATATTTTTAAGACAATTTATACTTAGAGAGTACATTCTCTTAATAAAATCTATTACAAGTTAATACAGTTTACATTTTCGAAGGATTTTGTATAAAAATTATGACTAAATGCTAAATGCGTTAATGTAACGCAATTTTGCAATACATTTTTGACATGACACTAATATGAAATTTTTTTAAATTTTTAGCGACTTTTAAGAACAAAGGTTCTAAAACTGATTCTAAAATTATTATCGTATAGCTGAACTGAAAAACTTGTGTTCAAATTCCAATAATAAACTTGTATTATCAAATTCCAATTATAACCCAGCTACGTATAAGCTGCTACTTTTGTGTAAGTATAAATTTGCAACTGTTTTGTTTTATCGAATTTAATATAATTTAAAATTGTTTACTATTTTTATAGCAAAATAAATAAATCATGAAATATTTATTCCCATTTACATTTTGTTTAAAGACAGATTCCAGAAAGTTTTAATTTAAATTAAAAATACAACACTGTTTTAATATCCACATTTATCTATTTCTTATGCACTCAGCAAGCAGTCATTTCTTTCAAGTTTTGAGTTCGAGCAAGCTGTGAACCGGTAAAATTACTTAACATATATAAAATAATTAAAATTGTATTTATGAAGTGAAAAAAGAAATTTGTTATTTATAATTAAATCTGTTTGTGTTTTGCGTGCTTTAAATTCTTTTTGTTTATAGAAATTTTCGAACGTTGCGTTTGTGGTCAAAAAGTCAATTACTCAATTGTTGGTACGCAGGTTTTCCTATTGGATAGAGTGCAAAAGAACTATAAACAGTCTCTGATTTGACAACGTAAGAAGAATAGACAACTTTGTTTCTTTTGACATTGTTGCATTTGCTTTTAAATCATTCATTTTAAAATAACTAGAATTTATAAATTTTTCTTGTTACACGAAATAGTATACAAAACAAAGTGTGCTGATCTGCCTTACAATAAAGCAAATTAAATTTTACAATATAGCAAATTCGCAACAAATTGTATACGCTACCGCGTATAAAGTAAAAAACCTTGAAATTTCCGCGAAATGCTATTGTAAAATGAAGATTTGTTAAAATTTAAGGATAGTTCAGACAACAGAATTTGTTTAAAAAAAATTGAATCTATCAAAATTTTCTATAAATTGTGTTAAATGAAAAATATTTTGTTTTTCATTGGAAGCAAAAAATTTAATTAAAATTTTCATTGTCCCATCTTGCAATTTTTCAAATGAATTCCGGCTGTCAAAAAAGTGTATTTGTTGCTGATTCATTTTAACAAACGCTGTCTGAATACGAAACGAATTTACAAAGACTGGTTGTACTTTTTACGCCTTTTTGCTTGTGCTGCTACAAAGAGTTTGGCATTCAATCGTTAAAGTTCGGTGAGGCAAGTCGGAACGATTGCAAGAATTAAATTCGTGTAGTCGTCAGTCCACAATAGCCAAGGAGGATTTTTTTCTTTTTTTGTTAAAAATATAATTTGTGCGTTGAATCACAAACACAGTAAAAATCAAAGTACGAAATGGCGTTAAAACGGATTAATAAGGTACGTTCCTTTTTTTGTTTAACTAAGAATTTAATGCATTTTATGAGACTCCAAAAAAAAATTTATGCAAGAGCTGCTAAAACGAAAAAAAAAAATGACGGGAAAATTGATCGAAAAATGGGCGACACTACAAAAAAAAATGTGCATATATTTTAATGAATTTAAACTAATTTTAAAATGTGTGTCTAAAGTGGAGCACTAAAGAAACTATTTGCAAAAATAAATGTGATATATTTTAGAAAAGTGTATAATCCCTTGATTACATGAAAAAAACCTGGAAGTGTCTATCATTAGAAAGTGTGGACTTTAGTGATACAAAGCATTTAGAATTTTCTAGAAATAGGTGTGTTGGAGATAGAGTACAAAATATAAAAAGTGAATTTCAAGTCAGAAAAGTATTTAATCATAATTTCTATATCAGATTTGGTATATACAAACTATCCGTCTGTGGAGTGAAGAAATTCAGTGTTGCTACATAACCCTACTTTTTGTACATATGTACACATACTTAATTTTGCAAAATATTTCAAAATTACGCTTTATATTTAATTCAATCTCTTTATGTATAGCATGTTTTTAATAACTTAGAAATATTTTTAATTTTTGTTAACACATTTGTTCCCGGAAAAGAAAATTTTCAGAAGTTTTGTTAAGAGAAAAAAGTAAGATGTATAAGGAAAAAAAAGAAGGAAACACTGAACGTCAGCGTCGCCGTTACCTTTCCACTTACACTCACACACATTTATATACATATATATATATGTATATATATGTGTATATATACACCCATGGTTAAATTTCGTTCTCGCAATTCGTAATGATTTTGTTTAATAGTCATCGCAGCGAACTGCGCTGCTTACCAATATGCCAGACAATCGCTGAGTAAATGAAGTATGCCCCTCATTAGCTCCCTTTTATCCATAAGCTTTGGAAAACGGCAATCTTTTGTTGCTGCTGCCTTTTCTAATCGGCGCCTTTACTTATTCGTTTCTCTCACACTAGTGCCGTTTTCGTAATTGTCGAATTCGTTAGCTTTTTTTTTTACCCGCACAGTAATCCCCCGTCTCTGTATTTTAACATAAAAAGTTTATTTTTTTCTGCTAAAATTCTTTTTGCACTTTATAAAATACTATGCGTAGTATTTGTCTCGTTCGCTATAACGTATAATGCTAATGGTGATATATTCGATTGAGTGCGGTTAGTTTCTGTATGCTACTGCTGTCTCATTTTTGCTACTTAGTTGCGTCCATTGACGTTGCTTGTTTTTAATATCTTTGATATATATGTATATATAATTTAGTGTTGTAAACCTTAGAGACTATTTACTGAAATTAATAATTAATAAATAATTAATAATTAACGTTTAGTTCTTCTAAACCTTTAGACAGTCAAATTTAAGGTTGTATAAGAAGTTATGGTCCATCAAACTTGAAGTATTAAATATATTTTGGCTGTCCGTAATCTTTATTTTTAACGCTACTTATACGTAGCATTGAAAAACAAACTTCTCCGTGTTATTGAAGGTTAAAACTTTATAAAATGCCAGTCAAGGGTTTAAAAATGGTTAAATTAAGAGTAAAATTGGCAAGAGCTAATGTACATCAAGCTCAATATATTTGTTATGAAGTTTGCAATATTAAACGGACATCATATTCTTGAGCACTACACTCTTCTAATTTGTCTAGTAGTACTACTGTCAATAATCAACGATTGGGGCAATAATAGATAATATGCAACTAAAAAATTAAAAACCATTTTAATACCATATGTAAAGAATACTGAGGGTATTTTGAAGCTTCACTTCAACTTGTATATTCAGAAACTTAATATTGTTGTTGTTTTAGTCCATAGTTGACAGGAGTTTTCAACACCCGAAACATCCCCACGAATTGAACTTCTTGCAGATGCCTGTGCAATAATTTATCTTAAATGTACTAATGCTTTTCCAATTCTTCAAAACCTTGGCCTTAAGAAGCAGAACATTTCTAGTATCTATTCAATGTGAAATGACTCTCTTAAGGTTAGATGTTAATATTGGAGTATCAGGTTCTTTGTTCTATTTCTCTGTCTAGATTTCTAGATCTACAACTATAACATCAAAGAGGTTTTAATTCTGATTTTAATATAAACTTAAATTTTATTGGCAATTTACCTGTTGAATTGATTGTTTGCATCTGTACTTATACCTTAAATATTTTTCTATTAAAATAATTTAAAGATAGCCTCTTGTATAAAATACAATTATACAACTGTTTTTTAAAATTAAATTGTTTTAAATAAAAATGAGTGAATATTATTTTGTTTAGGCAATAGCAAATACTGCAAGTTTGCCCTTGAAATAACTCAGCCATTATATTGTAGTTGCATAAAATTTTCAAAAGAAAATCTATTAAATTAGCACATGTAGGATATAAAACTTTTCATATTAATTATTAATTTGAAAAATCTGTTTGGATTAAAATTCATTGTAATTTAATAATATAAGCTTTGCTTATCAGTTTACATACACATTTCAGTTTTTGTCTTCTTGAAGAAGATGACTCATCTTACAATATCTAAATTACGTTGTTATATTGCAATAATAGTTTAACTATAAATAAATAACTTATAACTTATAATAGATAATTTAAAATAATATAACTGGTTTCTTACAAGTCTTCGTATCATAAAACAGTGTTTTTCTTTATAAATTATTTTACTAGAGGGTTTTTTTAACGCAGCTGGATTGAACTCATCATGTTATTCTCCTTGTCACATATACTGATTTTGATGGAACATTACAATAATATTTTAACAATTTTGTTAATATATTGTAATAGTTTTATTAAAATATTGTAGTAGTTTAATTAGAACATTTTTTTTATGATTATATATATAATTATTGTCGAGTCATGCTATATACTAGCATGGTCAATATGTTATCTTTTTTAATTATGTGGAGATTTATTTATACCATAACTTTAAAGCTAAACGGGAAAGATAGAGTTGCAGGGATTCAGAAATGGATCTTTGCATTACAAGGTTATTCTTTACATGACCAAGTGCAGCTCACTTATTCCAATAGGGACCCGAAAATCAAGTCGAAATCAGGTCTATTTGTATTACATCAACCAACTTTAACGAAATGACTTGAAAACAAACACATCTGCATTTCTATTGGGTTTTACGATTGGTATTTGGTGTTGCTGCTGTAGTATGAGTTGTGGTTAGGTTAATTGCAGATGGTAAGCAGTACTCAGTCGTTGTGACCGATTAACATTGACTTGTAAATACAATCAATTGCGGCATAATTGACAATTTTTTGTCCTACCATCTATGTTGATATTTCTTATTATTTTTCTCTCTTATCATAAATTGTTACATATATTTCTATATCTACTTCATTTTGTATTGTAATTTTAATCTATATTTGTTTTTTATTTTGTGGTATCCTAAGCATTTGTCACGATGACTAATAAAATCCCATTATTCATAGTACAGCAGATATAGGTCAGTACCATGGCACAGTATTAAACGGCTTAAACAATTCCATACAATACTGTTTTAATAAAAATCAAGTATCTTCGGTTTCCACTATCTCTAAATAATAAATTAAGTTATATTAAATAAGCAAGTAATTTATTATTGAAAAGTATGTGAACTTGACAAAATAATATTTTTAATTATCTTTTAAAATGTGTAGAACGTGTATGTGTCTGTATGCTTGTTTATATTTGAAAGATGAACACTTTAGTTGTATTAACGATATTAATAATGAGTTAAAAATTTTTTGATGAGTGTATGCAAATCTAATTATTATAATAGAACTTTCTTGGTTTTTTTGTAATTGGAAACGCAAAAAATATTTCAGTTCAATAGAACTGATACCAGTTCTTCTGACCAGTTCAGTAGTTTTGATACTAGTTCTATTTGCAGCTACGTTCACACTTTTAACCTAATCTTATTTAAACCCATGTCGGTATGATCTGAGTTGAAGTGGGTATTCATTTAAATATAATCAATCGTCCTCATTGATGACACAGCTTCTACAGTAGTTATTATATATTGTTGACTTGTGTTACTTGTAAATCATTGTGATAGTACTTGATTCTAGTAGGACCTTTATTAGCACCCACGTCGAATTACTTTATTTGATGTGATCGATCAATTGGACAACATACAATATATAATATAAAATAAATTTAAAAATATTTTTTTTTTGTTTTTGTTATGCGCTAAACAGAAACAGGGAGTACAAAGTTTGTTTTATAATTTTTTACTATTCCTCCCTAATTGATAATTGGCTGTAATATACATTTATGTAACATGGGGTTTTTGAAATCAGTGTCTTCATATAAACCACTGCCTTCCTACTGTCCGTGGCTTTCTTTTTTCAGTGTCTTCCTTTAAGTCAGTGTCTTTATATAGTTAGTGTCTCTTTATAAGCCAGGGAGTTCCTATTGTTAGTGGCTTTCTTTTTTCATTGTTTTTATGTAGTTAGTGTCTCTTTATAAGCCAGTGAGTTCCTATTGTTAGTGGCTTTCTTTTTTCATTGTCTTTTTATAATTAGTGTCTCCTTATAAGCCAGTGAGTTCCTATTGTTAGTGACTTTCTATAAATCAGTGTTTTTTTTCAGACTCTTCCTTTTTTCAGTGTTTTCTTTTTTTCAGTTTTTCCTTTTTTCAGTGTTTTATTTTTGTGTCTTCCTTTTTTCAGTGTTTTCTTTTTTTCAGTGTTTTCTTTTTTTTCAGTGTCTTTCTTTTTTTTCAGTGTGTTCCTTTTTTCAGGGTTTTCCTTTTTTCAGTCTCTTCCTTTTTTCAGTGTCTTCCTATACATCAGTTTATTCCTATAAGTTAGTATCTTTAAATATATCAGGTCTTTATATACGTTAGTGTTTTCGTAAATGTAAGTTTATTCCTATAAGTTAATGTCTTTTTAAACGTCAGTGCCTTAACATGCATCAGTGTCTTCCTATAAGTCAGTTTATTCCTATACCTCAGTGCCTTTTTATTGTCAGTGACTTTCTACACATCAGTGGCTTTCTATAAGTCAGTGTTTTTCTGTAAGTCAGTTTATTTCTATAAGTCAGTGTTTTCTAATAAGTCAGTTTATTTCTATAAGTCAGTGTTTTCTAATAAGTCAACGTCTTTCTATTAATCATAGTGTCTTCCTTTAAATCAGTATCCTTCTATTAGTCAGCGTATTTCTCTAAGTCAAGCGGCTTTCTTATAGTCAGTGTCCGGTGATTTATGCTGTTGGAATTAAGGTTACGGTGTAGGTATTTTGACTAGATGAGTCACGTGTATGAACATTTAGTTTTGGTAATTCTATAACTAAAAAGACAATTTTAGACAAAAAGAAAAATTCCAGTTATAACAAATTTTTGGAATAATATAAAATCAAATCAGGGACTTCCAGCTGCAGCATGTAAATATATAGTAATAATTGCTTATAAAATAATTATATATATTTTGGAATAAGAATCCGTAGCAAAGAATAAGTTCATTCTATTACAAAATATATTTATTTCCCCTAATGTAGAAGTATCTTTGAAAAATTTTTGTTTTCTTGAACTGACATGCCTGTGCGTTATTTTTATTTCCTTAATGTTTATCTATTTATTTTTAAATGAAAAATGTTGGAAAAAAATGATTTTTTCAAGTTTTCGTTGTGGCAGGCATATATGCCGGTGCTGTCAAACGCTTCACCTCTCCGAGCACTACGTCGACGAAGACGTCGGCGAATACTCAGCTTTAGTGGTGGTGTGTACTATATTGATAACGTTGATACTTTCGCTATCGTCACAACATTTTTGCTGAGGTTGTTTAAAATGTTGTTTGCAAAGACACTTTTTTCTTCTTCATCTTTCTTCAAGTATCTAAAAAAAGCGAGTTTTTAAAAATTGAATTTTGAGTACTAAAATATGTATTTTTGTATTGAAAATTTTTACGTTATTATTTTTACCTTAATTTTTCTGTTTTTGTATGTTTAATATAAAAAAGCGTGAAGCATTTGTGGAACTCAGAAACTGCAGACATTTCTGAAAATATCTATAGTAATGTTGTTGCTTATAAATTACAGAAACACCAAATTGTATCTTTTTCTTTTTTGAATTTATTTTTTGGTTTTAACTTCTCTGCTTTATTTTAATTTATTTTATTTTTTTGTTTCTTCTTTATGTACTGCGAATTTAAAGCGTTGCCAGAATTTAAAAAGGGCCAACGAACTCTACACACAAATCATTTCGGCTTCAATGCAAAATTATGTATGAGCGAGCACCTGTGTTCCATTCGGCCACTGTGCTCACACGTTGTTTTGATTCACATCTTTGCTGGTTTGTTGTGAAATTTTTGAATAAAATTTAATATTTCTACTTCCCAAATATTCTCTATCTATTTGTATAATGTGTAATACACATTAGACGTCATTTATTGGAGTTTCAACAAAAAAAAATGCATTAAATTTTTTTTATATATATATATATTAATTATAAAAAACTTTTATTAAACATATTTAATAATTATAGGAACTACAAGATCTTGGCAGAGATCCACCTGCACAATGTTCAGCTGGCCCGGTTGGAGATGACTGTGAGTAATTTAAATAAATATAGCTCCAAATATAACAATGGTAGTATCCACTACCAATAGATTTAAGTACATATAGCTTCAAATATAATAATAATAGTATCATCTACCAATAGGTATATATAGCTCCAAATATAATAACGGTAGTATCAACTACCAATAGATTTAAGTATATAAAATGAGTCATATGAGTTACTCTTTTAACTTAATTTATTGTTATTAATAATTTATTAATAATTAAATCAAATTAATGCTAATTGCCTCTATAATAGGTATATTTGAATTATTTGTATAAAATGTATTTTAATGAGTTTATTATATCACACACATGTGACGTAACAAGTTTATTTATAAACCATATGTATTTAACATTTTATTATGTTTACGTATCTTTTATAAATATAATGATGATTCAGACCTTTATTCACAAAAGATAGATAGTTATGTTAAGTAGTTTTATAAACTTATGTGTTAAACTGCGATTCAACAATTAATCAATTGGATTCTCTTTACTGAATAAATCAATACCGATTTATTATTGAAAGAAATTGGCAACACATCATATTTTGCCAGCTGTTTATTTGTTTACAAAACTATGTTTTTTTTTATTTTTACTTACGATTTGTTTTCATTTATTGTTTGTTTGGCATTCTTAGTGGACTTTATTATATATAAAAGTTGCATTACCAATGACATTTTTTTAAAATAATATTACGTTCCACTTTCATTTGCACTTATATTCCACATTAAAATGGAGTATGAACTAGATCATTTGTAATATCATGTTTCCACTGCAGTTAAAATTGCTTACGTTAAAGAAATTCAGGTTGATTTATGCATTTGAAATAGCTTTGTTGTTTACATTTTACATATAAAATGTGTAGCAAATTTTGATCATTTCTTTTATGGGAAATTTATTTTTAATGCTTGCATTCGATATTTTACGCCTTAAATCAGTTATATGAAAGCTCTTTGTATGTTAAATTATCCTTATTAGCTGCCTTAATGACCAAAACTTACTTAATGAGACCAGTAGAAACAAGTTCACCGTGGTGTTGTCATTGTTTCCTTCAGTGTTTATTAAACAAATTTTACTGAAACATTACTATTGTTATATATATATTCATATATTATCTTCTGGTGATCTTATGTTCCAAAAAGAATTAAAAAGTAACTTAACTCTTAAAAGCATTAAACCACTAAAATGCAGAACTAATAAATATATAGTTTTACGCACTCCGATTATATCGTTGTTATATATATCTTTATTCAAAATCCTCAGGTGGTTTTAAGTTGAAAAAAAAAATTAGTTAAGACTTTTTGGAAATAAAAATAAGAAATATTTTTAACTTTTATATATTATAAGATTGCTGATGTTATTATTTGGGTTACAGTAATTGTAATACAATCTTCTATCATTTATTTTGACAGATATTACTGACGCCAGTTTTTCAAAATTCTTTAATTAATACTAGTAGCACAAATTCAATATAGTGACTATATTTAATTATTCAAGATTATCATCACAACATTGAAATATTAATTTTTTTTAAATATAAATATAAAGATATATATCAATCGGATGCAATCATCCTCTTCTAGGTCTTGTTTTTCTTAACTTATTCGAAGTATCGAATATATAAAAAATAGTTTTTTTTAAACAATGACTGCATTCTTGGTTTAGCCTAAAAGATTTGTTTATATAATTAAATTACATAGCTAGCGTGCCATATCAGTTCTGATGATATTACAATATTTTTACCTGATAAGATCTACGCGTGATTCATCTTGTTTGTTACCGGTTTCCATTGGTATTTATAGTTACATCCAAAGTGTGCTATGTTGCTCCGCACAATCTTCCCTTCCTTCCGCATTGATTTACTTCTTCAGTGATCAATATATAATTGAAATGTATGTCAGAAAAGCAGAGAACAATTAATACTTATTACTCCATAGATGACATCCTCTCTATATATTGCTTTCCCAATTAAATCTTTTAAGTATTTTACTTAGTATGCTTTTGACTAGCATAAGCGTCTAATCTAAATTAATAATGAATTTGTCGTTCGAATAAAATGTAAAACTGCAATGATAAGTGTATAGTTTATGATTACATTATATCTCATATTACCGTCAATGATTACGGTAATTATGGTTTAGGCAGATATAGAACTAAAAGGTACACAAGTAAAATCAAAATGTTCAAAATTAGCAATTTAAAATGTTTAAAGAATTATATTATTTTGGACCACTGTCGGTAATTTGGTTGATTTTAGTAACAGATATCATACCATAATTGGTTGTTCGAATACTATTTTCCTCACAAGAAATTCGTATAGAACATCTATATCATCTATCCAGTTGAGCTAATACAGTTTTATAGATTTTTTGTTTTTTCTGATGAGTGTTCCTAAAAATATGTTTCTTCTTCTATAATTATTTTAGCGTCCTCAATAACTATTTTAGCGACCTTCTGCAATATAACGATGAAAGCTAATGGAACCTTATCTTACCTAATAATAAATTTTCACTATTAAGTACAATTTTACTTAAAATTCATTTAATCTTTCATTAGTTAAGTTTATATTTGTAACTCTACACTTTATCTTTTATTGTAAGTATATGCACTAAATTGCTATGTCATCTGTTCTTATCTTATATGCGGAGATTGTGTTAAGTTTGTGATTCAATGATATATAAATAATGCTTCTTATCATTTGTAGATTTTGTTTCGTTTCACTATTCTTTCTAATTAGGATTTAATATAAATATACTATTAGTTAAAATTCGAGTTATAACACAATAGAACTCATTGGGAGCAGTGAAGTGTATTTTCTACATCTTGTATCTAGTTTTTTTAATTAATATAATTGAAAAGTATTATTTAATTAATTGAGACAATTTTTTTTATTTAGATGTTGTATATATCGATTTGTCTTTTAGTTGGTTTTTTTTTTTCTAAATGACCTGCAAAATAATGTATCCACAATCTACCAATAATTTAAATAGAAAAGTATAAGGTTAGTGGATTTTATTTTAATAGCAGCAAGAGAGGGTGGTTTTAGTGTTTGCAATCAGCTGTTACCAAAAAGAAATTCCAATATTGGGTGGGTAATGTGTAATATTATACCTACTGTCATATGAGAAAAACAAAATGTCAAAAATAAACAAAAATTGAAGGGCGGGAAATACATAACAAAAATTATTTGATGTTTAGGTTTCTGTATTTAAAAAAGTATTTAATAGAATAAGGTTTTATTTATACTGAAATAACTTTAAATAATACCAGAGAACAAAGACAGAGAGAGATAGACAGAGAGCATGAGCAAGATATAACAATTATAAAAATAATATTCTTTAACAATTAAGATTAACTGTAATTTATTTTATGTAAAGGAATTTAATTTAAAAAGCAAAGTCACATTAGTTGAAATTGTTATAAAACCTCTTTTACTTCTAGAATTTAATTTAATAGAAATTGAAATAATTTCTAGCTCATAAGCAATCCTCATATTCGACTATTGTTTATGTATATTTTAATTTATTTATAATAGTTTAATTTCATTTTAAAAAATAAATATATGCCTGTTTACCATCTATGCCTGTTTACCATTTTAAATATATTGTAATTTAAAAATACTCATATATCTATTATTTGCAAATAAAACTAATTTAATTTATTCTTCTCTTTTTCAGTGTTTCACTGGCAGGCAACAATAATGGGACCGGTAATTACAAAATTAATTATATTAATATAACTATGTATTTACATTCTGCTTACTTATTCTAATACATAATAAATTGAGTATATATCTATTTTATACTACATTATGCTACATATAGTTGTAGGGTTTGATAATATTTGTTGCAGTTAGGAATAGTTTTTATAAAAAAAATTTCCGTATATATTATCTATAAATGAAACATATTATTGTATTAAAATGACTGTAATGTAACCATAACTACGTTGCAGTTCGTGTATACGTCTTCAACACTGTTAATATTCAATAGAAATTATAGATAGATGAAAAATAAATGTTTTGATAGAGGAATCTCTAATTTATATATTTAAATATGGTTTCGAATAAAAATCTTAAACATATATAACAGAATATATAAACATTTAGAGTTTTCTTTTATATTGTCTTTAGTGATTTAGATCAGTTGTGTTCCAACTGAATCACTGAATCTAGAATCAGAATTTTCTTACAGTGGTGTTTGTTAAAGTATTTACTTACTACTTAGTTTTCTTCCACAAACGTGCATCGTCCTTGTCCGTATAATGTAGAGTCGTCTGACGTAGAATCTTCACATAGCATCTTAGTATGGTCAAATATTAGATTATTTGCCTGTTAGAAAATCTGTCATGAAATGGGTTTTGTACGGTAATACACTAGCTTGCAATTTTTTAATTACAATTTACTAATGGATCTCTACTTTCACCTAATGTCGTGTTGTGCTATAACAACTCTTCCATATGAGTATATGATATACTTATGTATAATATACTCATTTTTAAATATAAGTTTTACGTAAGGCATCTACAGAACTTACAACAGTTTTTAAAGTTATTAAAACAATAATAAACTAAAATTTTTAATTTACAGAACAAAATAAAAGTCCCATCTACCACAAAAGAGTAACGTCATTTGATAATGAAATTAATATAATTACTCATGGTTTCTCTTCATTGAGACAACATTTCTATACCTGGAATCAGACTAGATTTAATTATTTCCAGACATTCGTCTCATTTTTATCCTAACTATTCCTATTTATATACATTTTCATATTCTTTAGTATACTTGCTTTTTAAAATCTGATAGGTTGCAACAACCACAACAAGAGACGTATCGTTACGTGATTTCAAGAGTAGCCGGTATTACGTTCTGAAGTTACTCGTCATTTCAGACAACGAAATGATACTCACACTTCCCAACAAAGACTGTAAAACTAATCTTACTTTCAATCTTTCTAAGTAGATGCTGTTACTGTTACAACGATTGTACGGGTACTTGAGGAATTAAGCGTATATAGTTGTATTATCAATCCAGGGTTGATTAAAATTTTTAGTATATAGCAATAAATCATGCATCTGTATGGTTAGCACTTTTTATTCAACTAATAGTTGGCAACAATTTTGATTATTTTCAGTCTAGGGTTTATTCAGATTATTGTTTATCGATATTTTGCAATAAATAAAATATTATTACGATTTACCTAATTTATTTACAAGTAATAATTGTTAAAAATGAAATGGTTAGGCCAATTTGTACTTAATTAATTGCTTTTTATTTTCTACTACAAATTATCTATTATTTTATTATATTACATTATTCAATTATTATAATCTAATTAATATATTCCATTAATATACTTTTTTATTGTTATACCATATTATATATTGTTGTTATTATATTAATATATTGTTCTATTATATTATTCTATTATTATATTATTCTACTATTATATTATTCTATTATTATATTATACTACTATTATATTATTTTATTCTATAACTATATTACTCTATTAATATATTATTCTATTATATTATTCTATAATTGTAGTACTCTATTATTATATTATTTTATTATTATATCCATTGTTAACTAATTTTTAAATTATGAATAATAAATAAACTAATCTTCCCATTGTTTTCTTTCTGTGTTTAGCCGGACAGTCCATATCAGGGAGGCGTATTCTTTTTAACTATTCACTTTCCAACAGATTACCCATTTAAGCCCCCTAAGGTGGCCTTTACAACGCGTATTTACCATCCAAATATCAATAGTAATGGATCTATTTGCCTCGATATATTACGTTCTCAATGGTCGCCAGCACTTACTATATCAAAAGGTAAATAACTATTTTTTCTCATATATACAGAACAATAATAATAATAATAACATATATAATTTTATATTATTTTCAGTTTTGCTGTCTATTTGCTCTCTTCTCTGTGATCCAAATCCAGATGATCCACTTGTTCCGGAGATTGCTAGAATATATAAGACCGACCGTGAAAAATATAATGAGTTAGCACGTGAATGGACACGAAAGTATGCTATGTGATGCGTTCTAGTATGCCTAATTGATCCGTCAAAATTATATAAAAACATCATAATTACTACAAACGTTTGCTGCTACAACATCCAAAGCAACCAACAAGAAATGCAGTTCTCCAACATGAAAAATTCTAATAGCAACACTAAAATTTTTTTCAACATAAGCAACATCGAAATGTTGAACAACAATTTGGTTAATTAAATTTATTACAAAAACAATATAAAATGAATGCAACAGTAAATTAATAAATAAAAAATAAATAAACCAACAAAAAAGTAAAAAAAAAACATCTAAAAATTAAGCAGAGAAAAATTTACAATAATTCAAAAAAAAAAAATATTTAAAAAAATTTAAAAAAAAAAATACAAAACCCAACAAACTTACTTATAATTACTACATTTATAATTAATATTATTATAAATTATAATTAAATATATTCTTCAGAAGAAAAAATAAAAAAAAGAGAAAAATGAGATAAGATCGCAATTGTGAAAATATAGCAAAATTGCAAACTTTCGACTCGACCATCAGTCAAGTATGGAACGTTTAGATTTATTTGTTTGTACCAAATTGAAAGTCTATTAAGGCTTTTATTATTTAGAGTTGGTACTTTCTGATTAGAGTTTCATTTTCGCACTTTGGATATCTGTTGAAATAAACGTTTCCAGAGTGAAAGAAGCAAGGTCTTATAAACTGTATTATATACACTTTTCGAAATTGTTAGTTAAAAGGGTAGAAATTATCTGAAGATCAGTATAACCAAAATATTAGCTATGTTTGTGTATATTGAAAATATATATATATATATTCATATATATAAATAAATATACTGCTCTACATATATACATACAATTCACACACACACACCCATACACATACGATACATACACTTACATACATATATATACTTTTAAGCTTGCCTACATATAACAGAGACACATCCTTTCTCGTTCGTCAGATTTAAGTGTGGTTTATTTTATTATATAATTAAACATATATAAAAGAAATAATATCGAAGAACAAATATTGAAATATTTTGCTAAAATGATAAAAAGAAGAATATAAGAAAACTCTTAATTAGTAGTTAATTTAAATAATTTTCATAATTTTTACTATTGTGTGCATATTTAAATGAGAAGCCTGAGAAACAATATAATTTTCTCCTCAGAATTTTTTTTGTTTTTCTAAAAAGATATTGGTGAATGTGTTAAAATCGTAATTTTTTTTCTAATAAAACTTTAAATTTAATATTTTTAGCGTTTTTGGATTAGCAGATATCCTTCAAAAGATAAATGGTTTTAGGCAACTCAAGTTTCGAAAAACTTTAGAAAATCGAAAGTCGACATAAATAGCTATGAATGTTTTGCTCAGAATAATATCAGTAGTCAACAAACTAATGCTAAAATCATTGTCAGAGAAAGTTTTACAATTGCATCTGCGAAAAAGATAAAATCTACGTAAGTGCATTTAAATCAAATACAAGACCTGATATTCGAAGCTGGAACATTTGGGAACACTATATCATGTTCCATCATTCGATATAAATATGTATTTGTAAAGAACAATTTAAAACAGTATGTGACATGAGGCAGCTGAACAGTATGAGTAGTTTGAATATCTAAGAGTTGATTCAACATCTTAGAGTAACTAGAATAGCTTCTAAGAGCTGCTTCGATACTTATAAACAGGAAGATCCCATATTCGTATGGGTGTATCCCAAGCTGCTCTAATAGGTTGGTCTATAAACTAATATTACTCCTGTGAAATAACATCTAAAGAGGTTCTAAGAACGGCCAGGTCTACGTCCCAAAACCACTCGTCACTTTCGACGACCAATTGCCTTTCACCAAATCCCTTTCCACCCGAAAGGGACTTGATAATCACCGCGGGCTACAACAGTAACAACATCTAAAGAGACTCATTTTTACTAAAAGAATGTTTTTCACTGGTTAAGAGTAAACTGAAGCATATTGAATTCAAATAGAAGCGAAGATTTAAGTCTAGTAAGTTCGACGAGTTTAAAAAAATAGGTTTGCAGAACTATAAGCAATACATCATATATGAACCGATTTGATAAGAGATTGTAGGTAAATAATCACAAAAAATTTGTGAAAGAAACCTGTAGTTGTGAGTTTAATATTTATTAAAAATGATTAGAATTGTAAGTTACAGTTTCAAAAACAGGGAAGTTTATGTCCTGGATTCAGTTAGTCTACATACAAGACGCGATCAAGTGTCGTTCAAGCCCTTTGGGCTACAACTACAATAATAGATTGACTATAATTAAATAGGTTTTCTATAACTAGAATGTGAACGTTACTCTGGTGTTTAAAATGTATGTTCCTGAATTGAACATGAATCATTTAGAAAGAAGAAACTAATTATTCTGAGCGTGGAGTCTCATCAATTTATACCTGATTTTGTTATAGGAGCGACGTAGTGATAACGGTTGAATTCCGGGAATACATATCTAAGCTCACGTGCTATCGTTTTCCTTTACATTATGGCTCACTGGTCATCTGAGGCTTTGGAGGGTTTCACCACAACACTTGTTCAAATTATCATTGCTCCATTTTGTCAGAGTCTGATATCTATCTCTTATGATTAGTTTAAGTCTAAACAAGATTTAATGTATATATATATGTTGAATAAGCGAAGTTTTGTAGAATCTGCAAATATAGAACTATATTTTGGGTTCTGCAAAAATAACCACCGGTGCCGGTTTTATTTGCTGTCGTGTTTCCGAAGGTGCCTTTTAGATTGTATATATTCTGGTTACAGTTTTAAGCGAATTAATAGAAGGATACAACCTCACAAATAAGTAAAGAAAATATATTTATTTAAAGTCATCTTTTAGTAGTGTATTTTATTTGGAAATATGTGACAGAATGGAAAAAACTATTCAAGAGCTTACAAGGAAGCTGAAAAGTGACTTATTTACGATTCAAACGAGATAGTGTAGAGTAATTTAATAAATAGCTAGCGTTCTATGATCTCTATACCTGTAGTATAGATCTATTGAGGGCTATTGCCAATGTGTCGTAGACACACGGCAACTTTAAAGTAAGTATATAAAAGCTTGCAATACATTGCACAATGGAGGTTAGGATGGTTATTGTATGGGAAAGTAATGTATAATAGATGGTTATTGTATGGGAAAGAAAGTAATGTGGGAAAGTAAATAATGTACTTGTATGAGAAAGATAAGAGTGAGTATAACAAAATAAGTAGGAGTGTGAAACTAGCACGGGTACAGGTAGAGGAAAAAGTTAATTTAAACCTAAGAGTAGACTCTATCACTTCTCTATGACTTCGTATGTATTTTATTTTGAAGAACACGACAAAATCGTCTTGAAAATCGATGTCATGTATGTGGTTATATTGAGAAAAACATATATATATTTATATACCAGTAAGTTCAGATAGTTTTGATTTATTTATGTAGAACTATACTATTTATTATATTTGATTCTTATATTTTTAATGCCAGTTAAGGTCTACAACTACAATTAATAGGGCTTATTACAGAAGTAGCGTAGTTTCCGAAATGGGATAGTTAAGTGTCGCTTACCATTTCCATATTAACTTTAACAGATCTTTTGTGCCATATATTGAATTCTTTACTATGAAATCTACTCCTACTGCAAAAAATCATAAATGTAATAGTCATTTACTTGACCTTGTTAACTTTTAAGGATCCATTTGAATCTGTGTTGTTATCCGACTTTCGGATAGTGTCGGGAAATACCACAGCCAGCTTAAATGTTGTGCTTTATTGATTTGTTCCAATTGTAGCAAATTTTAAATGTGTTATTTCAGGGGCTTAGACTGGTATTCAAACATTGTTTTCGTTGTTTTTAAATTGTTATCTAATTTAGTATTTTTAATAACAACAATTAATTTGCATTTCCATTAACTTTGTGAAAAACATTTTCAGATTACTAATTCAAAAATCATTGTTTTAGTATAGAACAATATACATATTAAATTTAAATTAAAAGTGGCATTGTATGACACCAATAAGCATTTTATTTAAAGCTTAAAACTGATTTAATAAATATTTAATTTGATTAAATATTATTTGTACATATTTTTCTTTTTGGGATCATCAATTAATATTCCCATTTTCACTATCATCAGTTTATATTATAAGTATCTGCTATATCTGTGAATTAAAGTTGCATTTATCTACATATCTACATTTATCTACATATCTATTTTTACCTACATATCTACATTTATCTACATATCTACATTTATCTACATATCTATTTTTATCTACATATCTACATTTATCTACATATCTACATTTATCTACATATCTACATTTATCTACATACATTTAAAAAAAACATGCAATTGTCCATTATTATATATTTGATTCCCTATATATATAGTTCAGATATAAAATACTATATATATTTGACATAGAAATTTATTTTTATCACCAGTGCTATATCACTAACCTTGTGTGGTCAGCTTAAGAAATTGCACAACTTAAATATTTTATTAATTTTTTTTTATGATGCAGTTTATTATAATTGCCAAAAATTAATTTTACGTATGAAGGGTCAATGTGAAGGGCGATGATTCTCTCGACAAGTTCTTGTTTTACCAATCTTTCCCAACCAATGCAATGCTGTAAGAAAACATAAGATGAACAGTTTCAAGATGAAAAAAAAAATAAAATTAAATTGAAAAAATATTGTCTGTTCAATTGATTTAAAAAAATTCTCTAGAAATTTTTTTAAATTGTCTGCAAAGTTTATTACTATGCGGCTGTAGATCGTCTCAATTAAATTAAAATCATTGTGATTTAATTGTAAAAAGTGTGGATGGTATTCTCTCGCGGTACAATATCAGAGACGGCATTAGTTATTTTTAACTGAAGAATCTGTTTTTATGCTCATTTGCGTATTGAGTTTTTTATCACGTGAGAGTTGACTTTCTTACAAAGAGAACATTATTCACTTATTTATTAGGACTACTGCGGACAGTGATGTTGTTAAAAATCTTTTTTAAAGGGGACAATAATATAATTTATGTTAATAAATTGCAAAATAATCTTAGACGTAACGGACTTGTGGGTTACGTCCAAGGAATTATATATACAATTGAGGTAACCACAAAAAAATTATTATTAAGTGCTATAATTGTCTAATATATGGTAAAAACTTCAAGGTACTTGTCTTTCGAAATCAATTTGTTTTCCTTCAATAACAAGTAGATATCGAGACGATTGGACGATTTGAAACATTCATTTATAGATCGTTTTTTAGATCTATCTGTGGCATGTAGAGCGTCCCGATAATAAATTAATTAAGGTTTCGGACTACTAGGGATAGTATGGTAACTGAAGGTATTGATACTTATAAATGCATGAATTGACATTTATATGAAGCATGTGAAGCGTCCCGATAATAATTCAATGAATCTTTCGGACTACTAGCTATAGTATGGTAACTGAAAGTATCGATACTTATATAAAGGTATGGATTGACACTTATCACATAAGGGAGTAAAGGTTTTTCCATAACCAACTCCAGAATAAAACAAGAGGGAGCAAACTTCAAGATCACACGATTACAGTGAAATTATCATAATCTCGCCCACATAAGAGAGTTAAGGTTTTTTCATAACCAATTCCAGCATAAAACAAAAGGAAAGGAAGTAGATGTCGAAAGAAAAATATGACTATTATTCTTTCGGTAAAGAAAGAAAATTATCAAATAATTTTTGTATGGCAAGATTGTTAAATATAAGAGGGATTTCGACTTAGCAAAGTTTAGCAGAGTAGTCTTTAATACGCATCACTTTCGGCAAGCAAAAATTAATATTAATAATATATATTATTTTAATTGAGGAATGACCTATACATTCATGTCTCACATAGGATTGTGCGGCATTTTAGACAATATTTTTATCTGATAATAGGAATTTTTTATATAATTGAATGAAGGAAAAAAAAAAGCCAATATAATCTATAAGTGTGATGCGATCTAAACTTTTTTTCTGAACACCTATAAAAGATTAATAAATAAATGTATAGTAAATGAATACGAATAAAATGGAAAAAGCTCAAGTAAACAGAATTAAAACATTTCTCTTCCATATAGTTTTTTTCTTTACATTATGAAAAAAAATGAAAAGAACTTATGAAGGAAATGTGTAAACCTTAGTCAAAGTCATTAACAAACGAAGGCTAAATACTTGTAGATTTAGACTAAAATGCTTATATGAACACATTATTTTACAATAATATGTGGTACTACATTTTGTTTAAATTATTTTTTTTATTTTATGCTTTTAAAAAGTCAATTTTCAAATATTTACAAAGGGTCAATATATTATATACCTTATCATTTCATTATATGATATTCATATATGAATACTAAAACGCTTTTCATGCATTTGTTCTAATAGTTTATATAACTAACATATATCATAAGTAATATATGTTTATTCCAATAAATGTGATTACACATAAGAGGTGCTATATTACATATATAGTCATAAAATAATATATTTGTAAATGCTGAAATACAATATATATATGCATATATAAAAAGAAGTGTCAGAACGATTATCTATTCCAGTTGTTTAACTATAACTGTTCTATATCTCATTAGCCAGTTTTATGTTAATACTACAGAAACTTTGTGTACGTTATAGACAAAATGTTCTATCATTTTTATCTTAATATGAAAACCCACCAATTCGCTTACTGTCATAGACATGGTATTCTGGAATTTTTATGCCAGATAGTTTCGTGCGATCATAGATATAATATTCTGAAATTTCCTTTATATAAAACCAAGAAACCGATTTTTCTGTGTTAGATTTTAAAGCTGACATAGTCGATTTCAAAAACAACAGAGGAGATTTGAACAATATTTCGTGGAAAATAGTTGAACTTTATTAGTTCTCCGAAATGTCTAATCATTAAAAAAAGGAACTCTATATTTCACATTAAAATCATTATAACATTATATATTATATTATTATACATAATAATTATTAATACCATCTTATGGACATGGTATTACATATAGATAAAAATGAAACTGTCAACCATATTGGCGTCATTTCTTAGGATGAATCAATGGTAATATACCTGTACAGTATGCGTGATTTTATAGAAAGTAGTTGTAACATACCTTTATCATTATATATATGTTACATATATATGGTATATTATGGTTATTGAATAAAATACCTTAACTATATTTTTTAACCATACATCCATAAATGTATATCAAGCATATATATCTTCATTTATGCTGTTTGAGCTCTTCCAAATTGAATTGCAGATAATGGAAGGGGTATCAGGACTTGTTACATTTAAGTAAACACAGGTAAATTAGTAAATTTAATGTTACTTTAAGCAGAGATTGTCCTATTTTAGCTCTTAATGTATAATAAATATCATATTTAAATTTAAAGAAAAATATATATTGATTTGAAACTGGATTGTAGACTCACCAAGCATAAAAAGTCATAGCCAGAAGTCTATATTGGCCACTTGTACTAAGGTCACAATCAGCTACAGAACATATTAAATAAATAATAACATATTAACATATATAACATATATAAACATATTATATATATCATATATAAACATATTAATAAATATTATATTAAAGTTTAAGGAAAAATATATAATATATATATAAAAATATATATCACTAAGCATAAAAATTCATAGTCAGAAGTCTATGAATGAAGCATCTTCTAATTTTAATGAAGAATTAATATGTTTGCCTGTTATACCTAGTAGGTCATTTTTGTATAGCTAGAATTTGTGTGTGACTAGATATTATCACCAGAAAAGGTTGCAGGTGAAACCCCGGTATATTTATCATTACTGTTTTGTAATATATAATATATATCTAGATTTTGATCTAGATATAT